AGAGAGAGAGAGAGAGAGTAGTTATCGTACGATTTAGAGAAACTTAACCTAACTTTCTACGACTTTTCTCTCTCGCTGATATGATAATTGTAATAGAATAGTATAGAAGTGCATCGATGAACTTGTGTTACGAAGAAAGATGGAAATTATTTTGTGAAACGAACGTGTAGAAAAGAAATCGATTTTTGAATTCGAACGACATAGTTTTGAATCGGTGGAGTTTATTGTGTGAAGTAAAAATCGTTGAGATCGAGACGTACGAAACGAGACAGTCGAATTTTACAATCGAACGAGTCGAGTGGATGCGTAAAATGAGCTCGACACACGAGCAAACTCTCACCGGTTTAACGATCCTTCGAGGCTATAAATGAAGCGGAAAGTTAATTCTGACGATTGATCGTCGTTTAAAGAGAGTGCAAGTAGAGTTGCACAAATTAAGGTGTAATGGATAAACGGCTCGTTAACTCTGTCTCGCGAGTGTCTCTCTTTCTCTATAAAATGTAATACTTTCGAGCATATATATCGTTTATTCGCGTATCGTACGTCGCGTATAGAACGAAATTAGGTTAGAAGAAAGCGACATCTTGTATCCATTCGTTATAAACGGATGATTTATGAATGGAAACCGTAACGAACGTGACGTGATTATTCTTCTCTAACGAAGATTTATATTTCGTTAATTGTGCAAAAGAAAAAAAGAAACTGAAATTCGACTTTATTCATACGAAAGGAGATCGTTGAACTTGAAACAATCTCCGATATTCTTTTTCTTTTTCTTTTTCAGCACGGTATATCGAATTTTTACAGAACTATAACCCTCTATTATAATTCTATCGTTTTAATTTCATGGCGATTACCGATCAACGACTCATACCGACTTCTTTTTTCTTCCCTTTACAGGAGGCGATAGGAAATCGAAAGGATCGGCCACGAAAGGAGGAGAGCGCTAATATTGTCGGTGAGTCGAAACATCCGTGACATGTTTTTCATCGAGTCATCGACGCTCAATTAACGCAACTCAATTTTTTTAATCCCTCGTTATTTTTTCCCCCTCCCATCGTGATCGAGCCCACTTCCTCGTTCGGCTTCTTTTCGATTATGCAAAAATCGTCGAAAAGAAACGTTTCGTTTCAAAACGATTTCTGGAACTTTTTTCCCCCTCCCTCTCGATTTTATTGAACGCGGATAGAGAAAGGAATTAAATCAATTATTCGAATTAGAGACGTTTTTTTCAAGTTGATTCGAAGCGATCGAGCGGAGAGAAGAGTTAATGCACGCGTATCGATTCCGTATCGTCTTTCCAAAGTCGCGGATTGCCAGCAACGTGCGACATCGCGTTATTATCGCGTTAAAAGGAACGCTCTGCTAGCTCGCAGAGTTAATGGATCGTGAAAGTCACTCGATCGTTTCTCTCTCCTTTCCATCGTCCCGTGATTCGATCACGCGTCGCCGGTTTCGTTTCCTCACCTGGTTTCCTCTTTCACATTTTTACGTTATCACGCGTATAAATTTCGTATATATATAAATTAATCGTCACTACCCTGACTGGATAAATAAACACCCCATACATACGATCCACCACGGTTCGCTCCACTTGTTCCTCGTATCAGCCACCTTATAAGAGACACGGGAGAGAAAAAGAGAGAGATTACGAGCGAGAAGAAGCGGAAGAAGGAATCCCATAAGAGGAGGAGAAGAAAAGAAGAAGAAGAAGAAAGGAGGAGGAGGAGGAGGAGGTCCGATGCATCTGAACCGACGTGACCCGGCGCAAAAACGGTCACGATATCTCTGACGCGGTGTACGGGAGAGGGAACAGGTAACGAGCGATCAGATTTCTATCAGGATGCAACAGTCCTCTCTCTTCCTCTCTCTCTCTCTCTTTTTTTCCCTCTTCTATCAACCAACTAACCGATCGAAACGACGAGGACGAGGACGACGAGGAGGACAACGAACGACAACGAACCGTTTCGGTGCGCGCACGGCAGCAACGGTGCGGATACTCGTCGATGAGAATATGACCCCTGCACGTACGTATAGGCGTCGTGGCGCGTCTCCAGAGGCCACGGTTACACCACGCTCTCTCTATCCACAGCCGGATACCACGCGTGTGTAGGTGATGGCCGCGCGGGCTGGTGGGAGTACCGCAAGGGTCAATCCACGATGCGGCATTATATTCCGCACGGGGGCCTCACGGAGACCGGGTTCACAGGCAGCGCACGACGACGTTCGAACGCTTAATGGGCGGAATTTGTCTGGCCGGCAGGTACACTGACAGCCACTCGGTTCAGCCTGTTGCGCCCGATGCCCCCAGGCGAACCACGGACACGCCGCGA